CCGTCGACTGGACCAAGCTGATCGGTCGACTAGGCCAGGGCAGTTGATCGGACCAAAGTGGTAAGTGGACCGGGTCAGGGCGGTTGGTCGAGCCTAAGTGGTCTATCGACTGGGCCAAGACGGTTAGTCGGTAGTTGGTCAACCCAAAGTGATCGATCGAATGGGCAAGGGTGGCTAATCAAGCCTAAGTATGTCGATCAACAAGGTCAGGGGCAACCGTTCAAGCCAAAGTATGATGTTGATCGCGTCGAGGTGGCCGGTGGAGGCAATGTGCTGTGCTGACGTGGTTGAGGAGGCTAGTCGAGACAATTTGCAAAAACAACATGCAAAGTGTAGGATGTAAAACATGTCTAACATGATGCAAGTGATCACCATCGATAGAGAGTCATACTCATGCTAACAACCTCACTTAGGTACCTAAGGATTAGCTCTTGGATACGCAACAAAGCCACCTCCTTCTTTGGCAAGAAGTATGGGGGGCTTCACATTCAGATTTCCAAAAGGAAACCCTCAACAATGTTGTGGAATGAACTAGCTACAAAGCTTTTTCTATTCCACAACTCATGATTTTATAAAGTGAGCTAGCTACACAGCTTTTATCACTTCCCAAACTCCAAATATCTCGACCCCTCCAAGGAGGGTTGGAAATGCCAAAGCAAGGGGAAATTAGGAATCTGACGTGCTTAGAACTTAGATATAAGGCTTGGAACGAGAAGTCACTCAGCTTCGCAAGGGATGTGTCCAATAAAAAATTTCTAACCTAGTGCTTCCACTAGGAAATCAATGACCAATTAATAAGCGTATGACCATGTCAGCTTGTGTCGGCAGGCCAACTAGCCTAACGTGGGTGACCGAACCCACAACACCTAGCAAAATCTACTTCTAGGGCTTGCTAATAAAGATTTTATGGAATCTCACCAACATGGCGTTTGATGTCATGTTTCTTCACGAAGCTTGAAGCTCTCCTAGTGGTAGGAGATATGGCGATGTTTCGGTGAAGCTCTGGCGAGGTTTGCTCCACTCTGGTGAAGTCTGCTTTACTCCTTCAAAGAATGAATAAGCTCTCCTTTAGAAGGACAGTCTGGTGAGATTTCAGTGAAGTTCTAGTGGTGCTTCAACGATCTTTCCCGAAGCTAGGATGAAACTCTCCCTTAGTTAAGGAGAGGAGACACCTTGCTTTCCTGCTAGCCAAGCTCTTCCTCATAAAACTCTCCTCATACACTCAAATGAAGTGATGGGAGAGGAGGAAGGAGATGGAAGAAGAAGAAGAAGTTGGGAGATAACCAACTCTCTTAAGCTTCTCTTTGAGGAAGATGAAGAATCTCCCTCCTTTTTCCTTGCTCCAAGCTCTAAGCTCTAAGATCCTTGAGGAAGAAGATGGAGTTCTCCCTTTGTGCTCTCAAGCACTCAAAGCTTCAGCCACCTAAAACTGAAATGAGAGGAGATGATTTGAAATGGGGGAGAAGAGGGGTTAAACCAACCCTTCCCTTCTCATTTGCCAAAAATAGCCTTGTTAAACCTTTTTGAAAGCTTTCAAAAGTGGTTTAAAAAAGGTATAATTAAACTTTTTTCGATCCCTAAGTAAATCTTCTCTAAGTCAATGAAATCCTACAATTTCGGCTGCCAAGCGAGGTGTGCTAGGGTCAAAACAGCTCAAAAATTGAGATTTTTTGCATCTTAGAACTGGGCTGACACCTAGGTGCAATGACCACGACACCCAATATGGTGTCAGCAGGCTAGCGCTTACTTTGTTGGAGCTTGGGAAATTATCGTTTTTGGGTCATTTTGGGCACCTAAGCCCCCAGTCTAGTGCCTAGCCACCAGTAGGCTAGCACATACTTTCCTAGGGCTCTGTTTGGAGGCTTCAGAGGTAGTTTTGGGCTCCTATACGTCTGGGGCTAGCGACCATGCGCCGATCTGACCCGAAAGTGTTGATTTTCTCATAGATCGTCTGACTGAGGGTTTCTTCGATTTGTGAGCTATGAGGAACCAAGCATGAATGAAATATAACTCATTAAATTCAAAATTATGTATTTTTATTGGTCATTTGTATGATAAATCATCGCTAATGGTCGCCTTAAACCACGATATTGGTAGAGTGTTCCAAACCCTAATTTTCTCTCTGCTAATTATGGGTTTATAAACCGGAGGTTTTGGTGCACGGGCGCCACGAACCACCGCGGAGGTAAAATCGGTCTGAACCCAAAATTCTCCAAAATGTGCGCGGAAAATCTTGGCGGCTTGAAAAAATATTTTCTCTTTACTTCTTTAACTTGATGGAACATCTACTGATGCATCTAACTTATGAGGGTAACGTAGGAGCCCAGTGAAGTAGCAATAATTGTATCCCTTTGAGAAGTATGTATTCCAAATAATAATTATTTAATTTATAATGATTCATTGTCATTAATTTTAAATAATTAATGATATCACAAATTTTTGAATAAAATCAAAAGAAT